CCCGCCCCCCTCCCGCTGCCCTCCGGGCGTCTGAGATTCACCGGCCCGTATCCGCCCCTGCCCGGGGCCCATTAAAAAAAATGCGGAATGGGACAAAGGCAAGGATAGAGTCCCTCTCTGGACCACAGGGATCGTTATCTTCTTAAACAAGATAGCAGCCAAGGGCTTCGAACCCTTCGGAAACTGCCCCATCGCACTTAAAATCATATTCCGTGGACCAAAAGTACCACGTGACCTGGCCCCTGGCTGCTCGGCCCACGCGATTCCTGCCACTAAGTACCCTTGCTCCGTTCCTCTGCCCCTCCAGCTTCTCCCCGTCCGTGGGCCTTGCAGTCATGGTTCCCGGGTCTGGAATGCACGCCCATGCACGCTCCTTCCCATCGTTATTTCATTTCACCCATGGTACTTAGCATCCCTGGTGATTTGTCTCTCCCAGTCAGCTGCCAGCTTTGTCAGAGAGGTAGGGCTTTGCCAGGCTCTGTGTCTAGTACTTAAGCCCAAGAAATGGGTCAGAGATTTCTTTCCTCCCAGGCTGGGATGGCACCGGAGTGGGCCAGCTGCGTCCCTTCCACGCTAGTCCCCTATCCCAGCCACGCACTCATTCCTAGCTCCCTGGTCAGGGCAGCTTTTCTCAGCAGCTGGACGTCTGCTGATGTTCATCGGACTTCCTTGTGCCCCACCAACTCAGCCAGGCACCTGTCATCAGTGCAGACCCACAATCCGGAGATCCTGTCTTCAGGAAAGCTCCACTTCCTAGAGTAGTCTGGAGATGCAGCAAAACCCTTTGGGCTGGCCTTCCTGGAGCTACAGGCAAGAGCCAGTCTCCACACACATTTTAAAATACAACAAGGGACTCTCCCTGAGAAAGGAGGCCGCGGGAGCACATCAGGTTTGGGGGGAGACGTCTGAGTGCACTGACCACCCTGGTCAGACTCGTATTTTACACTTGCCTTGTGATGGATGGAAATTTGATACTGAAAGTGTATCTTCCATTAAGGCCGAGACCTCATCACTAGGGGAGGGAACTTCCTGTGATGGGGTCATGTTACGTGTAGGACGTTCATTTTCAAAGCCCAGCAAGCAAAATGTGAGAAAACACGTTAAACGCCAAACCCACATGTGTTTCCCCATCACCTAGGAAACCAGCTCCTCATGAAACTACTCGGAGGGCCACACCGCAGCCAAAATGCAATCTTGGAGCCCAGCCGTCTGGTCTCCCCTAGCCCGCCCACTCCCACCCCAACGCAGTGAGGAGGCAGGAGCCTGCGGATACTGAGAAAATCATTCCTTTATTCTGGTTTTCTTGTGGCAAAATAACATCTTATACAAAGAAATTTCCAGGTTCACTTTGGACATACAGAGAGAGCACAGTGGAATGAGGACCTTGGGGAGTGGGGACAAGGATGACAGATCAGGTCATTGATGTGCATTAAATTCTGTGAAAAATAGATTTACAGGGAGAAAAATAGATTTCCACCACGTCAATGACTGTGTGTGATCCTTGGTAGGACAAGGGTCCGTCCACCGCCGGTCCTGCCGTGACTGAGATGTTCTGGGACGTGGAATGTGAACGACAGAGCCTGGGCTCCACCCCAGGTACACAGCGCCCTCCACGCCATGGCGGCCTCCCAGCTGGCAAGGAGTCTGGACACTGAGTTTTAGGGCAGTCCCCGGGGCAAACCCACCAATGCCAGTAACTGACCACCAGGGCAGCAGGACACACAAAGGCATGCCCCCAGATGTGTGTCAGATGCAGCCCATCGAATCCATGCCATAGATGAGTCCCTCCTCAACTGGAAGCACAGGGTGACAACTACCTAATTGCTTCCCCAAAGCACTATAAGGGCCACTACAAGCCAGAATGGACACAGTGGCAGTGGGGAGTGGGGGCCTGCGAACTGGATGGCTCTACAGTGAGTGTGTTTTCAGGAGGCACATGGCCCTAGCCTATGAGACGGCTTCGAGCAAACACATTTGGCAAGATCCTCTCCCACACGCCCACAACTCCCCGTCCTCCTTTCTGTTCGCCCTTCCACATGTAGAGACCACCAACCAGGGTCTCCTTGGGAGAAGTGGGGAGGGCATCTCAGGCAAAGGTTCGATAGAGCAAGGGCAGGAATCAGACAAAACTAGCAAGGGGGCCTGACCTGCCAAGCTCTGGAAAGCACCACCCGGGGGCTTCTCAAGACGCAAGCTCTAGGGGGGTGCAAGGCTCCCTCAACTGTGACATCATGAAAAGATAACCTGCTATCAGCAGTCCGGCTGCTGTGATAACACAGACCCTGATTCTCAGCTCCCTTCCATTCAGAAAGGGTGACTTCCAACGTGTTCCCTGGATCAGGCACAGAAACAGGCATTTCCAACTCCCACGGGCAGCTTGAGTGGTAACCCTTCTTCTCGAGATTTCCTGAGCGGTGGCCAGACTCAGACACCAGACCTAGGGAGCAGCAAGTCAAGTCCCTGTCCTACTGGGCAGACTATGTCTTGGTGGGCCTGCAGCTAAGGAGGGAGGGAACACGCCCTCCTCAGGCCGACTCCACCTCTCCTCCTGCCCCCTGGCCTTACTAGAGCGGACTCTGTGGAGAAAGAATCCCACTCAGATCTCGTGGCAGTCTGCCCTGGGGCACACTTCCAGGCCACATGGACAGAGGGACCGAGGGAGCCCAGGACTCAGGGTGAGGCTCCATGACACAGGGCGAGGAGACAGTGCTGCTGTCTCCACAGCCCAGGAGAGGCGGTGGCCACGCCACCTCCCCTGCAGCACATGCGTAGGGCAGAGTGCACACAAGGCACCTGGATAGAGTCAACCCCATTCTAAAAGCCATCCAGCCTGGCAAGCAGCAGCCTCTGTTAGGCCACAGTCTCTGCCCAAGCACACACAAGAGCTGCTAGCTCAGGGCGGACACAGTCCAGGGCCCCGGGCCAAGTTCAAATATGCTCAGCCCTGGAATCCATGCAGAGGACAGCAGGGGTCGGTGAAGGGGCCACACAGCCTTCCTGCCAAACACCTTGGTAAGTGGGACAGTCCACAGTGACAGCTACCACACCTCCAGACCTACCCACTGACACCTGTCTATCAGTGCAAAAGAACCCCCCCCAACCCCCCACCCCCAGGAGCTGAGGTGGGGAGCCTGACCCCTAAGCCTGGGGATAAAAGGAGCTTCCAGGATACACAGGGGCACTTTTTCAAGAACACTTCTCTGGAACAGGCTGCCTCAGCGTCTTTGCTCTGTCCACATGCCTGGTCCAGCAGGCCAGCTCTGAGGGACTAGAATGGGCTCTGCTTACACTGGGCCTTCCAGGATGATCCCAGCAGCTGCTTCAGGCCAAAGGCAAGACAGGAAAGCCCTCTAAATAGGACATGCGCAGGTTTTCCCAACAGGGCCCTGGGAAAGGCCCATGAACCAGGCCACACCAGTGGCTCGATGACCATCCAGTCCATCAGGAGCTGGCTGGGCCCAGCCCCGGCAACCTGGAAGCGTGACACAAGTCCAACTGCACCTCACCTGTGTGGCAATGCCACCAATGTTTCATAAAACCTCCAAAGAGAAGTCTGGAATTAGAAAAGACAAAAGAAACAAATGCGAGGCCTACTGGAGCCTCAGAAGACCCGGATGTTCCATGAGCAAGACAGACCCCTCATCTCCAGAGGGTCCTCCTTGGTTTCCGGAGCTGCTCCAGACGGCAAGCTGTCCCCTCCCCACCGGGGACAGGAAGGCACTGCCAGGTTGGTACCTCTGTTCATCCAAGGACTGGCTTGCCCGGAAGGCGCTGGGAGTGGAGCCTGAGTCACCATATATGCCAGGATCCAACTTCACCCTCCTGGCACCAGCTCCTTCCATCTGGGAATGATGGGGCAACAGCTGAGGACGGGCTCTTGAGGTGCCCAACAGGGCTCCCTCTGCACCTGGAACCATGAGATGAGCTGCTCCCGGCGAATGGCCCAGCTGGCACTGTCCTCCAACAGGCCACCCGGAAGGGACACTGTCCTTGTGATCTGGATTCCAGGAGCCTTACCCTAATCTCTGACTTTGCTATGGTACCTCTGCGACCTACAGGTCCAGGGGAAGGACAGAGGGAGCCCTGGGGAGAGAAGGCAGCTGCGCAGCACACCTCCCTGCGTGCAGCATGGGGACGGCCTTGGCTTCCCGAGCTGGGTTCCAGATGTGTGTTGAGAGTAGCAGCTTCTAGCACCTGTGAGCGCCAGGAGCTCGTGGCCGCAGCGCTGCACCTCCCCTTGGGCCCCCAGCAGTCACTGGCCCCCGTTATAAGCATAGTCTGCTTTGTTGTGCATTATCAACTTGTTGTCGACAAAATAGAAGCTGTCGGAGCGGGTCTCATAAGGGTGTTCAATCATCAGTCGAACTACAAGTCAGGAAAAAAAGACAAAAACAGTGTGTGTGAGTCTGCCTGCCCTGGGCTCCGTGGGAAACACGACTTCCTACCCCTCTCGCACGCCAGCTGGTGCTTCTGGAGAAGGCCCGACTACCCTGCAGGATAATGCCAGCACAGGGCACGGCCCTCCCTAGGGAAGCGGGGAGCAGAGGTGACTAACTGGAGGCTCCCAGAGTGAACATGAGCTTAAATGCCACTGAGGTTGTACCCCACTCTCTGGCGGGCCGCCTCAACCTTGTCCAGCCCGGTTCTCAGGCAGTGCAGCAGGGTCCATGGCAGCTCCCTGACTGCGGGGCTCTGCTGAGCCCACCAACTTGGCTCTCGTGTCACAGATGTGATGTCGGTGAAGCCTCTTCTTCCTCGAATCTGGTCCCTTCCTTCCCACTTCTGTGCTACACACACCAGCCTTCTCCCCGGAGGGGTGCGAGTACCCCCACCTCCCACCCCCACCCCCCGCAGACAGCTACAGGGACTACAGAAGGCAAAGCTGCCCGGAGGCCCAATCCAGGCCGCCCCTCTGCTCATCTCGGGGACAAAGGCCACCGTGTCACCATCAGATGCCCAGGCGGGCGGGTGCTCTGCCCTGAGGCTCGGGGACACGTACTGACATCCTCGGAGAGCTGGGGGAACTCGTAGATGTGCTCGCAGCTGTTCCGACTACTGGGGATGCAGAAGCCAAAATCAAAATCAAAGTTCTTCAGCAGGCGCTCCCGGAAATAGTGCCGCTCAATCATCCGGAAGTTTGACACAGGTTTGTCCCCCACTGTGAACTCCACTCTGCAAGACAATTCTCTGTCGGCTGCTTGGCTGGGAGCCCACCCAACACCTCACTCCCCTGAGACATCTGGCACTCACGTGGCTCCAACAGTGCGGAGGCGGAGAAACGCCGGTGTGAACTGATAGCGGACGAACCTGCCAGCACTGATATCCACGTCTCCACCCTCCTCATCGTCGTCCTCCTGGTCTGAAGAGCACACGGAAGCATAAGCACAGCCCAGCCACAGACACCATTCCAAGGCCTTAGATGCCAGACCCCGGGCCGCACGCCACCCCGAGGCCCAGAGAGGTTAAGGAAAGGGTACCCAGATAGGGAACCCTAACTGGAGGACTACCTAACTTGAGGCCAGTTCAGAAACACTGTTGGCCTGTTACAAAATTGGTGCATGGGGCGTGAGGGGCCGTGCCCTACGGGTAAAGCCTGGAGCACAGGTGGATTTCACCCCGATAGATATGGTCTTTACGGGGCTTCAAAAAATTTGTAAAAAACTCCATTCTCTTCTCATTCTATCTGCCTTGCCTCGCTTTTCCCCCAGAAAACATCTTTTAACATATAAAATATCTAAGGAAATAAAAACACTCAGTCATCACCCTGGAATTGTCAACAACAAAGAATTTTCTCACATTGCACTATAAATAAGTTCTAAGAGGGCCTTTTGGCTCCCAACCTCCCAGCCCCTTGCCTGTTATCAGTATCTAGAACAGTGTCTACCCTCACACATAGTTTTAACTAAGGAGTCAGGGTTCTCCCCGGCGGTGCAAGTTGTCACCATGCAACATGGAGAGGGCATATGAAGCTTGAAGAAACCTGCTCCGCATTAGGACTCTCTGGGCTTCCATCCTGCACCACCAAACAAAGCAACTGACTACCAATGAGCGGATCCAACTCACAGCGACCCCGTGAGACAGGGCGGAACTGCCCCTGTGGGGCTCGCAGACTGCTCTAGGCTGCCACCACTTGAGCAACTCACCTAACCTCTCATGTCTAGAGCTTTCATCTCAAAAAAGGAAAATGATGATAGTAAGTAGAGCTTAATTCACATATGCGAGAGAAAGATGAGGCTGTCTGGTCCCAAAAAACTTTGTAGTCTCTGAAACTCTATATAGGTTCAGAATCGACTAGATGGAAGTGGGGTTTTTTGGCACATAATCTGCATATCATAATTCAATATAGTTCAATCATATCAAGAATCGTACAATCATGACCACAGTCAATTTTGAAACATTTTCTTCTTTGTTATTAGTTCTCCATTCCCCCCCCCAAGTCCACTGCCACGCTCCCAAGAAACCATTAACTCAGTTACTCTCTCTATGGATTTACCTATCCTGGATTTCATATACAGAAAAACTAACTACAATAAGTAAAACAGAGAACAACCTCAAGAGAAACGCTGAAGACATCAAAAATGAAAACAAATTTAAAATGGGTCATAAAAGGGAAATCAAGTCAAATGTCAACCTAACTGCATCTTCACTTTCCAATGCACTGTGCATGGTGACGGGGCTGTTCGCATCCCGGTCTATGGGCAGAGAGGGTTCACCAGACTGATCACATATTTTCCCTTCACTTTCCCCCTTAAAACTGAAACCTTTAAATGGGACAAAAGGGTGATCAAATTACATTACACTGTAACCTAACTACATCTGCCGTAACTAATTTTACTATGTTCTCTGATAGGTAGGCTAATCATATTCCTAGACTATGGTCAGAGAGGGCTCACCTGAGGCTTAATCTAGGAGTGGACCCTACAAATGGATTTTGGGCGTCCACTGTTATCCATAGCCTTCTGCAAACCAGAGTTCACAATTTAAATTCTGGTATCATTCCCTTTCAGATTTGGATTTATTTCCAATCCTTGGGTCACACAGGCTGCTGTGCTTCTTTCATGTGGACTTAGTTGACACCTGCCATGCCCTTTTGGGGCCTCCTCATACTATGTAGACCAGCTTGGTTTTTGACCGAACACAAGTGTTAACAGAAGGACAAGACTATTACAGTAGAAAACAGTCAAAGGGATCCGTCAAGGAGTGTGTAAACTTCTGACAGGTAGTGATGACAAACAATGACTGAAGGGGAAAGACCCTGGCCTGCAGCCTTGGGGTACTGTGCTTCCCGGGTGGCCTGGCTAGTCCTGGATTCTCCCACAAGCCTCTTAGTCCTGGTCCCCTACCCCCTGCCCACCACCCTCCCAGCACATTGGGACCCCTTGGGACAGGGGGTGGGGTGGGGGTGGGGGAGGCACCTTACAGGATCTAGACTTGACCCTCTGGAGAGACAATGAGGACTCTGAGCCCAGTCTGGCCACACACCTATGGTAGCCCCAGGGTCCTTAAAACATCCAAATGTGAGGACATGGGACTGAGGGGCATGACACCAGGCACAGGAAGGCAGCTGGCCCTGAACCTCCCCCATGAGCCTGAGCCTTCAGCCACCTTGGTCGGAGAGCACCGGGTGGAGGGGGGGACTCGGGCTCTGCAGGTAAACTGAACCGAGGCTGTGGGAACATCTTTCAACTTGTTTGAGACAGTGAGACCTGCCTTATCAAATTGTCAGGCTATCTATTTCTAAGTAGCAAAGCACAGGAGAACAGCTTTGTTTAAAAAAAAAGAAAAAAGTGATTACAAGTTGATACTCCGAAGGCTATCTGTGCTGGTGTCCTACTAATCGACTAGCTCCAGGGGGCGCTAACTCTCCCGTGATGAGCTCCAAAGCCTCTGGAGGTCACTACAGAGCCAGGAGTAATTCCTCTGGAAGACCCTCCAAGCACAGGGAGTATCCACTGAGGGCACAGGAGTGGCTGAGGTCATGGACTGGGGCTCTGTGCTCCTGTGAGGAATGAGAGAAATCTGAGGAGAGACTTAAAGTGAACAGAATGAGAAAGGGGGCAGGGCACGACTGGACATCTCAGGGCCACCCTTCCAGAATGTCCCTGGGACTCAAGGCTCTGGGGCGGTCTTCAACATGGTTTATTTTCAAGCATTCCTTTCCTAAGTGGAGCACCAGCAAAAGTCTGGGCCCTGCGTTCCCTATCAGTAAAGTGGAGGGACAGCAGTTCCTCTTAGAGCCGATGCGTTTGTCCTACGTGTACTGCGGTGACCGGCAGAGAATAGACACCCAGCCGTCCGTCGTTCCCATGGGACCAGGAGGAGGCCTCTCTGAGCACCAGATCTTGGGAGATGGTGGCGCCTGGACTGGACACAGCAGAACCACTGACATGACACACAGCGGCACACAGAAGGGGGCCCCAGGCCTTTGGCTCCCATGGTCAGGCAAGGGCTACATGCTGGGGCCTACCTGCAACGCAAGGTTTGGCAATCTCAAAAAGCACCGTCCCCGTCTCCAGATCTCGAATTTTGAAGCGGGTGAAGTCAATACTGTAGACGTTGTCTTCTGGTTTACATAAATAATCTGGGGGGAGGGGGGGAGAAAGAGAGCCAGGACCAAGGATATTAAAGTCTCCAAATGTTTTATTTGTTAGTCCACTACTTCTCAAGTGTTGACCTGAAGTCCGGTCCTTTCTTATACGGTTCATATGAAATACCTCCTGGCGGCCCCAATCGAAAGTGGCAGGAAGAGAATTATAGGACCGGGAGAGGGAAAATAGAACCTGGACTAGGGCTGGAATGTGATGACTTGAACGTTCTGTTTTAGATTCTGGTATCTTGGCAACAGAGATAGCAATGGGAACTTTTTTCTTTGGAAATACCACAAAACACACTGTAAACTTGTAACAACAGAACGGATTTTTAAAAATCTCTTTAAGAACATTTGCTCTGACCTAATGGATAATATTGACGCCCTGTGGGTGCTGCAGGAGCCCTGGTAGCATAGCCGTTACACACTGGGTGGCCATACATTGGTAGTTCAAAACCACTAGCCGCTCCAAGGTCCAAGTCACCTCAAGAAAGATGGGGCTTTCTACCCCCATAAAGAGTGAGTCTTGGAAACTCACAGGGGCAGTTCTACTGTCCTGCAAGGGCCCTGTGAATTGCACCAATGGCAGCGAGTGGGAGGGGCGCAGTGGTGACACACTCAGCTGCCGACTGAAAGGCTGTCGGTTTGAACCCACAGCTGTTCCACAGGAGAAAGGTGAGGCTGTCTGTTTCCATAAAGGTTTACAGCCTCACAAATCCTATGGGGAAGGGTCTACTTAAGGGGTTGTGGTTGACTGGATAGCAGTGGGCTTACTCCTCCCACTCTGGTAGTAATACAGAAGCCCCTTTGCAGCACCACAGTTAAACGCTCAGCTGCCAACCAACAAGGTGCCAATTCAAACCTACCCTGAAGCTCTGTACGGGAAAGACCTGGTCATTTCCTATAAAAACCACAGCCTGGGAAACCCTACCGGGCAGTCCTACTGTCACAGGGCGTTGCTAGGGGTCGAAACCCAACTCAACAGCACCCAACAATGGATAATGTGCTGCTACTAGGAACTAGGTGATCGCATACTTTTTCTGGAATGGGCCAGAATAGAAACATTTTAGGCTGTGCGAGCCATATATGGCTTCTGCCAAAGCTTCTCCACGCTGAACTTAGAGCACAGAGGCAGCCATAAAACCAGAAAACCCAAGTCCTCTGCTGTCAAGTCCATTCTGACTCAATAGTGGCCCTAGAGCGTCTCCAAGACCCAGTCTTCACCACAGGGGACAGCCTTATCTATCTCCCTCCCAGAGGCCGGTGGCTTTGACCTGGCGGTTTCAAACTGCTGACCTTGCTGTTAGCAGCGTAACCACAAAGCCACCGGATGGCTTCTGCACCTTTAGGGCCCTTCAAATAAGCAGCTTGCTGAAGGGCACAGACAAGAAGAGGAGGAAGAAAGTTGCCGGCCCTGGGGGTGTGGGTGGGGGCTGACCTGGAGCAGGAGTGCTTGCCCTCTTATCCAGAGCTGCACAGGTTGGCTTTAGCCTCCATCCCCAGCCTAGACATGAGCACCTGCGGGACTCTGTTGCCCTCACCCTGCCCTGCCCTTGGGATCTGGAGGGAGCACAAGGTGAGAGAAGGCGGATGCTGAGCACTTCCGTGCGTCAGAGCCTCAAGCGTAAACTGGGGCAGAACAGAAGCAGCTTTTGCTAAAGATACACCCAGGCCTGCGAGGCCACTCTCAGAGTAGGAGCATGGGGGCAGCAAAACACCCAGAGACAAATTAAAACCATTTGATGAGGGGACTACCCTTCCAGGTGGGCTGGACCAAGGTCCAGACCCCCATCCCTAAAGTCACTGGAGCTGCCACCAGCTCACTGGGCACCCTTGAACAGACTATTTAAAGCAACACCGTAGATGACACACTACAGCAGCCTTGGGTCCATCAGGGCGACTTTGGGGGCCTGGGTAGGGCCAACTAGGTCTAACCTGCAGGAACCTGCAAACTCCTGGAGGGAACAGCAGCAAAATAAAGGGCATCAAGGTACTGGAAGAGAACAGAAAAAGCAAGAGGGAATAGAAAAAGCAGGATGAGGCCTATGAACTTCTTCCCACCTTTCCCTAAAGCAAAGGAGAGGTTCTGGATGGTTGCCTTTCATGCAAACCACGATCCTGAACCCTTACACAATGCTCAAGGCACGAGGATGCATGTGAAAAGCAGGCCTCGCATTTCCAGGTTTTGTGCACGAACGGAAACTTTATCATCATTCTGTAATGCGGCAGGGCTGTACATGTGCAGAAAACGCCCGGCACTGCGTTTTGAAGAAAGCAGAGCTCACCTGTGCACAAAGGGGCAATGCTGGGGACAGATGGGAGGAGCCACCCCCCAGGCTGCAGGGGAGGAGAGGGAGCAGGTCGGAGCTTCGGCAGGGCAGGGGTCCGCGGAAGCCGGGGTGGTGGCCGGTGGCAAGGGGTCTGGATGCCCGCGAACCTTACGATGGCTGGGCTGGGGCGTTACAGCCTGCGGGGCAAGGGGCTCACTCATTAGGGGGTTCTGGCCAGCGGCTGGGTGCAGAGGGCCCCTCCCAAATCAGGTCCAGATGAGATGGGGAACCGGCCAGGCACGGGCGCAGCCTGTGGTGGCGGGACCCGGGGGCCGTGGCGGCGGTCCAGGGGAGCCCCTTCCCCGCTCGGCCC